AACTATTGACGTTTTTAATGATATAAGCTCATCATGATGTTACACTCATCAAGAGCTTTCATTTGAGTACCCATACACATTTTGATATACTAGAATTTAATTTTCGCGCGCAAGCGCGCGCGTCATATTTATTGTCATGATATATTTATGTGTCGTTTATGTATATTATATTCACTTTTAACTAATCAGAATAAGAATAAATATTTTCAACCAATCATATCACGAATAAATTGGTTTCACATACATTTCATCTCAATTTTATTATGGGAATCACATCACGAATAAATTGGTTTCACATACATTTCATCTCAATTTTATTATGGGACTAGAATTTAATTTTCGCGCGCAAGCGCGCGCGTCATATTTATTGTCGTGATATACAGTCGAATCGCGTTATGAGTCCGGCTTGTTTTCTTTGTTTTTTAACCAGACTCGCGTTAATAAGAAAGAGACACAAGGAGGGCTCATAACGCGACTCGACTGTATTTGTGTCGTTTATGTATATTATAGTCACTTTGAACCAATCAAAATGAGAATATTTATTTTCGATATCTATCTATACATTTTATTATAGTATTTTTTTTCCTCACCTCAGAGTTATGGCGCCACTAACCATAGCAGAGTTATCAGTTTTTTATTATTTTGCTTTTTATCATTCATTTTAATCAATTTTATTGTGAAAAATGAGATTATGAGGCTCGCACTTTTGGATTTTCCAAACTTTTTCTATATTTACTGTATTAATCTTGATGTATAATGCCGATAGACGTATGGTATATATAATAAATAGATAAATAAATTATTCTATTTTTGATGAAATTTAAGAAAAAAAAATTTATAACTGTTCAAAAAGAATCTACGTATAGATTGAAGTGTTATAGATCGTGAAATTAAAGAAATACCAAAAATCTCTATGGAATAAAAAAAATATTCCAAAAATTAAATTCAAACATTCGCGGAATTTCGCGTCACCTGCTGGCCAAATTTGAATCCAGTAAAAAAAATGGCGTATCAAGCATACACAAACCGAATCACTTGCTAGAACTCAGCCCAGTCAACAACCGAATTCTTGATGAAAAAATAATTAAAAAAAAAAAATTAATCATGCAGATGAATATGACAATATCATCTCGAGTATTCACTGCAATTCAAAACGTAAATATACGTGAATTATCGCAGTGTTCGCAAAGAGAGATTCGACCTTTGTTGCCATGTCTGGTACGTATGAGTTTAATTTCCCCGTTGGACATCACCAGGGAGTGTGTCGAGGCGAGGAAGGAGATCCTGACTATCCTCTCCGGCATCGAGTCCGTTAACTCAATCGTCGCTTTGCTGTCAATCGATTTTCACGCACTTGAAACAGATGTCCGCAAGGAAATCCAATTGAGGTTAGTACACCAGTTATGTCATGTAAATATTATACTTACTCATCAGCAAATCACTTAAATGTATTAATTAATTTTTTATGACACTGACATTCATTTTATTCATCAATTGTATTAGAACTAAAAAATATTTCAAAAAAATTCCATTTATAACATTTTATAACTCACTTGAATATATGAAATTTTTAATTTAATTATTTCCATAAGAAAATTTCTAAAAATTATCAACTGCCTGCTAATTTCATTTTCATAATTTATTTTAAATGTTTCATAATTTTTTTTAGACAAAAAATCGGCAACACCCAGGGTGACAGTATCCTGGCACAATCTGTCCAAGGAGGTTTGGCCCAGGAATTTGAGCGGAGCGAATCAACCCTGAGAATCCGGCTGGTCCTCAGCGAGCTGCTGTTCGTGTCTTCTCAGATCCAGGAGCATCAAAAGACAAATGACTTCTCAATAAAGCAGTCAGACTTGTTCGGCCCCGCAGTTTACATGGAAGAGATCAGCTACGTGATTTGCATCGCACTGGCTGAACTTCCTGCTCTGCTATCCATCAGTGATATTGCTGAGACTCTGTTGCACGTCAAGCACGGCCCGGAAATAATTTGCTGGGTGGTAGCAAATAGTCCCGACAGTTTTTTCGACGTTTGTACGCACTTGATAGCTAACGGGGAGCGCCAAGAAGAGTCTGCGTTGGGGAGAATCAGGACTCAAGCGCTAACAATGCTCTGTAGAATGAACCCCTCACAGTCACTGGCGATTCGTGCTAAATGTGTTGAACTCTGTCGCATGCCTGCATTGGCGATCACTCTCAGCTTGGAAAAGAATTCATTAGACTCTCCGGAGAGCGATGTGGTAGCTTTTGTTTCAGGACTTTTGTTAGGAAGTGATCAGCAAGTGAGAAACTGGATTGGATTGTTCATTCGGAATGGCCAGAAACGCAAGTGGGAGTCCCATTCTGCCTTGCAGTCGTTGAGAGATGAAATTTTGACTCGCTTGAAGGCTATTGTTACTGATGTTACTGCTGCTGATGGTCAGCTTGTTGAGTCTCAGGTCAGTTTAGAAATTTATTTAGAATGACAAATGAATCGTTTATTTGAGAAACCCCATAAATCATATTTTTTTCAAAATCGGGTTTCTTGCATTTTTCGTTTCTTTGAATTTTCCCTCACATACACTCACCATCACCAAAAAATATTAAATCCGTGGTCAAAACCTATAACCAATCGGTTGATACAAATCTCGTTTAGTTGAGAAACCCTATAAGTCAGTGTCTTATAGGGTTTTTCGAACAAACATTCAATTTCAAAATTCCAAAAATAAGTTTCTTTTTATTTTTTTATTCAAAAAAATTTCTTCTGAGTAGAAAAAATCCAGTTAAATGCAAAATACTTCAATTTTAATAATTTTTGCAATATTAGTTTCAGAAAATTAAATAAAATTATTTTTTTATTGTTTGATGTGATTTCACTGACTTTAATTTTAAAACTAAATAAGAACTAAATTCATTTTTAAATACTTGAATTTTAATGAATTTTACAATATTCGCTTGATAGATTAATGTAAAAAATATGTTGTTTTATTGTTGACTCTGATTTCACTAAATTAAATTCTGAAATTAATGATTACCAAATAAAAATAAATTATACTTACTGTTAAATACTTTGATTTCATTAATTTTCGCAATTTTCGTTTTATAAAGTTTGATTGTGATAAATTAAAATTTTGTTTTATTGTTGACTCTCAGTTCACTAATTTGAATTTAAAAATAAATGATTATTTTTTCAATTTTCGTTAATTGTAGTTTCAATCTATGTTTTGTACTTTATTTTTATGAATATAATTAATGATTGACGGAGAAAAATTGATAAATTAATAATTTTATTACTATTTTGTTCGTTTTGGTGAGAAACCCCATAAGTTAATCAACTTTAAATCATTATTATTAATACTAGTAGAAATTAACAATTAAATTATTTCATGCTCGAATCTTTTTTAGGGATGCTAAAATTATTATTATTATTATTATTCATTGGTTCATGATGTTAATGCAAACTTTACCTAGGAAAATGTTTTTTGCTTCTCCTGAAAAATTTAGTATTTTTGACTTATGGGGTTTCTCAAATAAACGATTCAAATATTTTTGAAAGATTGCAGAAATTAAAATTTTTTTTTTTTTCTAGGTAGTAAAAGCCAGCGCATTGCTGAGACTCTACTGTGCATTGCGAGGAATCGGTGGGATAAAATTTCAAGACGACGAAGTGACAATGATAGTCCAGCTGCTGACATCACACCCTCCACCATCACCAGCTGGAGTCAGATTCGTATCTGTCGGGCTGTGTATGTTGATCGCGTGTCCATCTCTGATCGGTCATCACCAGTTAGAAAAAAAGAGTATCGAGTGGGTCCAGTGGTTGGTTCGCGAAGAAGCTTACTTCGAGAGCGCCAGTGGTGTATCTGCAAGTTTCGGAGAAATGTTGCTGCTTATGGCCATTCATTTCCACAGCAACCAGCTGTCAGCAATCTGCGACCTGGTTTGCGCGACTTTGGGCATGAAAGTGCCAATTAGACCTAACAATTTAACGCGTATGAAGCAGATTTTTATGCAAGACATCTTCACAGAGCAAGTGGTCACTGCTCACGCAGTTAAAGTCCCAGTGACTGCTAACTTGAACGCCAATATTCCAGGATTTCTACCTGTTCATTGCATCCACCAGTTGCTTAAATCCAGAGCGTTCTCCAAACACCGTGTTCCAATTAAAAATTGGATTTACAGACAAATTTGCAACAGCACGGCGCCGCTGCATCCGGTTTTGCCAGCTCTGGTTGAAGTTTATGTCAACTCAATTCTGGTGACCGGTAGCAAGACTACAGAGCACACCAACAAGCCCATCACCGAGGACGAAATTCGCAGAGTCTTTCAGCACAGCGTTTTCGGAGAGAATTTCAAATCTTCTAAACGCAGCGCGCTGAGTATCATGGAATTAGATGCTGAAAATATAGACGTGGATACAACTAAACCATCATTGACGTCCCAATTATTGTTCTTATACTATCTACTACTGTATGAGGATGTCAGGATGACGAACATGTCTAATTTCTTGTCGCAAGGCCGAAAAGTCAAAAGTTACTCGGTGGAGTTCTTGAGCGAACTGCCAATGAAATATTTGCTACAACAGGCTCAGAGAGATCAGCTTAACTACGCGAGTTTATTCTCGCCGCTGCTGAGGTTACTGGCGACTCACTTCCCACATTTGTCTCTTGTCGACGACTGGCTGGATGATGAGATGATTAATATTGACTCCACGGCGGCTAATTATGATAATGTTGTTATCAATGAGTTGACGGTCAAAGAAGCATTCAAGAATATTAAAAGTTGTCCAAGCAGAACTGGAAGGGTGTTAAGACAGATGATGATCATGAAGCCTACTGAGATTTGGGGCTATTCTGAGACTATTATTAGTTACTTCAAAACGATATTGGATGAGAAAGTACCGCGATATATACAGGGTAATAATAATTTTATACATATATTATATTACCTAAATAATTAAGGGAATAAGGAAAATAATAATTTTAAGTTAAAATTTTGTTACTATTATTAAATTTAATGAATTTTATTATTAACAATTATTGTTGTTTTCAGAATTATACAAGCAAGTATGGCTAAGATTTAACACGGTATTACCACGTTTTTTGTGGGTAATGTCAATAAACGCATTACTGATGGAAATCCCGACGGTTCAAAATGTAAGATTGACACAAGAAAATATCGTTCTTGATCCACTTCAGGTATTACGCTGTGACGCCAGGGTATTTAGATGTGCGCCGGTCTTATCTGTTATTCTGAGGTAATATATTTTTCATTATATCAATATGATTGTGTATTTATGATAATAAGAATAATATTACAATTCAAACATATTTTTATTTTCCTATAATAAGAATTTTACAAGCAACACTGGCCGCATCAAGGTCACAGCTCTCACGTCACATGCAAGATAGACCCATGACCGAAAAAGTCGGCCAGCTAACCAACGAATCTGAAAGAGAGGACCTTCGCACTGCCTTGGTTGCTGGACAAGAGAGCGCTGCGGTTCAGATCTTGTTGGAAGCGTGTTTGGAAACTGAAGAAGACCGAGTCGTACCGGGACAACTTTGGTCGCTGCGTGAGATCCGCAGTGTTGTTTGTTCGTATTTACACCAGGTCTTCATTACCGATCCGTCGTTGGCTAAATTAGTTCACTTTCAGGTAAGTCATCTGGGACTGATTTTTTTTTTTTATAAATTTTTATTCGAATTAATAAATTGATTAAACTAAATATTAACCAATTAACATAAATTTCAGGGTTACCCACGTGATTTGCTGCCCATAACTGTCGCTGGAATACCATCAATGCACATCTGCTTAGACTGGATACCTGAACTACTCTCTCAGCCGGAGCCAGAAAAACAAATTTTTGCAGTTGATTTAGCTTCGCACCTCGCGGTTCAATACGCACTGCCTAAAGCTCTCAGCGTTTCACGATTAGCAATAAATACTTTGATTACTTTGCTGGGAGTACTACCTGCCAAGGAACGTGTTGTACTTTTTATACCAGTTCTGTCGGCGTTGACGCGAATTTGTTTGGCGTTCCCACCACTTGCTGAAGACACTACAGGACTTCTTTTACAGTTAGGAAGAATCAGTTCAGCCCAAGCAGCGCTTGGTGACAAATCCGCGGAAATTCTTTGTCACCAAGTCAATCTTACGTTTTCTTCGTTACTACAGAAAGCCATCTTACAGTCCAAAGTTTATTAAAATAAAAATTATTTTTTTTTTTTTTTGTAAATATAATACTTATATATTTGTCATTTACATTTTTGAAATGTACATAATTTATGTAATATAAATAAATTTTAATAATTAAAATTATTCTCATCAAAGTTGGGATTTTTATGAAAAATTAATTTTATAAACATTTTATCTAATAGCGAAGAAATAGTCAATAATCTAAAAAAAAAAATTTTACTTTTCGGAACATAGAAGTTTGAAGTATTCAAAGTTTTAAAAAGTTTGGAAAATCCAATAGTGCACGACTCATAATGCTCATATAATTATAAAATAATAATAAAAAATGAAAAATATGAAAAAAAAAATTACAAAAAAGCTGTAGAAGGACAATAATGCTCAGGCGCCCTTATTAGGACAAATGTACATAACATATATAGATACAAAGTCTTTATGTTTTTTTTTCATTTTATTAATTACAATTAAACAACAATGAGTTACATAGCCATTTGCGATAGGAGACCTACAATTCTTTCATAAAATAAAAAAAAAAATTTTTACTCAATTAATGGATTTTTTTAATAGTGTTTACGGATTTCATACATGACGGACGGGAAAATTTTTTAAACTATCATAATATTTTTTTCTGTTTTTATTGTACTGAATCAATTTTTGGAAAGTATAGAATCAATCTCCATTAAATTATTTTGACAGTAGTATCCAAAATATCTTGATTCCGTTAACTAACAAGGATATGACAATAAAATTAGTTGCCGAAATGAGGTGAAAAAAATTTTTCGATCGTAAAGCACTCTTTGATGCTTCGCGTCATGAGTCGTGCAATTATATTATTAAAGATTTTGAACTTTCCAAGTTTTAAAAATTTCTCAAGGATTCAAATTTGGCGCGAAATATTAGTCGTTTGAGTTACACGCCGTCTATAGGCAAATTAGAAAACTGTCAGAGAAAGAGCAACAATCATATGATCAGTTATTCAGTCAGTGCACTGTTGTGCACCTAGAAACTTCTATCATTCTTATCTATTCGCTAATTGTTACGTACAACTTCAATAGAATTATGAGTTACTTTTCACCATATTGTTAATGTCACAATATTTATTACAAAGGTAGCCTTCGTCGTTGTATTATCTCCATTGCTAATCACTGTAAAAATATAAATAGGATTTCTTTAACGTTGAAAGCACATTGATGTTGGTGCTTTGTCATGCCCATACGGACAAATATTTACATTTTTAAGAAATAGCAAATTTATATTTGTTTATTAATTTATATATTTACCAAAATGGATTTTGGTAAATTACTCACCGTCGCTCAGAAAAACAGCTCTGTCAAACAGGTTAGTAATGGAGTCTATTGTTTATGTATAAATATGTATTATCATCAATATATGTGTATATTAATATGTATAGTATGTATATATATATATATATGTGTGTATACTTATATTTATATAAGTGTGTCGTACGCTTGAAAATTTTTTCCAAGTAGTATCGACCTATTTCCTGATATTTAATTCTGTATTTCTTCTTACTAATTTTTTTTTTTTTTTTTTTTTTTTTTTTTTTTTCACAGAATGTCTCGTATTATCCAACGAAATTTACGCCACCAAAAAAGGAAACGAAGCAGTCAAAAAATCTGACAGAAGGTATTAAAAAGTTTCTGGCTCGTAAGGAAGAAGAAGAGAGACAGAAACTATTGGAGGAAAAACGTAAAAAAGAGGTAGGAAGAAATTAATCATGAAGTACATGCAAAATAAATAATCAAGTTGTTAATTATGAGGTATGAATAAACTTGATTCAATTTACAGAATTTATTGTCGATGAGAGATCAGAAAGTGCAGAACAAAATTAATAAACATTTGAAAGTATCTAAAGCTGCTAATAAGTCGGTGTTATTGGATGCTGTTAATCATAAAGATACTGCTATCACTCTTGCTGGTAATTATTTATATCTTTTTATGTATAATATCAATTTATGGTGTTGGGAGTTGGTGTCAATATTAAGAGCTTATACGCACTAAAAATTATAAAAAAAAAGTGTATTATTCTGAATTTCATTTTTGCAATGTATACATATTTAAAGTATGTATACAGAAAAGTAAATGTCAATCGAACAAGTATTTTTAAAGTTATATGTTTATTTGTAAAGCCGTCTCGGAGCGTGTTGCACAAAAATGAGGTTGAGGCCGAAAAACTTTAAACGCTTTTTTTCTCAAAAATGAATTTTCAAAATCGTTGAGTAAGATTTATCAAAAAATGACTGATGAGTTCAGTCTCTAATTTTTAAACAATTTTCTTAACTATATCCTTCCATAATTGATCCAAGGATTGATAATTTCGATAAATATTTAATATTTTTATAAACAATTTACGGCTAAAATTTTTATCAAAAATCGATCATTTTCTTGTCAAGCTGATATATTGTTAAAAATAAATATTTTCATAATTTTTTTGATTAATCACTAGATCATATTCTATATTAACGAAAATTTTTTGGATTTTCGAATTTCGATTATTCAAAATAAAGATATTGTTAAGAAATTCATTGTGTTGTTCATATCCATGTTTAATTAATAAAATAATAGGTTCACAGTTTATTGGAAATATTTATTCGATGTTTATGTTAAATTTTCACAACGTTTCATCGGTTTCCCGACTTCTTCAGGTGCTAGAACAATTAAATACAAAATATTTTACAATAATATTCATATAATTATATTACAAAACATTATCATAATATTATACTACTTGGACAGTATAAACTCAACTCGCAAATTCAATTTATGACTAAGTCTAAGAATACAACAAAAACATAACATACCTCAATTATCAAACATCAATTGTTAAAAACATGTCAAATGAATCGAGGCAGGCTAACAACCTGAACTTATTCACATCATATTCCGATGAAACGTTGTGAAAATTTAACATAAACATCGAATAAATATTTCCAATAAACTGTAAACCTATTATTTTTTTTAATAAAGATATTGTGTTCACTGCAAGTAACCTTTTTTTTAGAGAACATCCTAGAAATCGTTTAATGGAGTTAAAAAAATCATTACTAAAAAAAGAAAGAACTTATTATTAAAGTTAAAAGTTACTACTATGTATATCTACTATGTTACTACTATATGATATATATTCATCATTATTATCAATTAAATATTTTTTATTATTATTGTTGATATAAATTTTTATAAAATTATTAAAATAATTTTTCCTGTATACTAGGTCCATCTCAGCCAGACGAAGATGATTACGGCTACGTATCCCAAGAAGCCTCTGCATTTTATGACAAATTAATGAACAAATATCAAAGTCTGCCTTCAGAGAAGCCATGGTTTAGCGACAGCGGTAAAAAAGTTGTGAAAGACATTGCTTCAACTAAAGACCGAGTAAAGCAAGCGCTGAAACAGCAAGAATTAGAAGCATCACTGCCCCATAGACGTAAGAGAAAGTCCGAAGCCAGCCGGGATGACCGGGAGTCTCAAGATAGCTCCAATGAGCGGGACAATCATAATCATAGTAGCAATAATAGCAATACTGAGGAAGAAAAACCGAAGCCTAAAAAACGTCCACTGCCACCACCAATTGATTTTATGTCTCTATTAAAGATAGCCGAGCAAAAGCAGCATGAGCCGATAGTAATCGAACCCAAGCCCAAGCCCAAGGAAGAGGTCGAGCGACCAATGACCAAGAAGCAGAGGATTGAGTACCAGAAGGAAAAGGAGTATTGGGACAGGCGCGAACGCCAAAAGAACGGTGACTACAAACCGTCTCCCTCTAGTTCTGCTGAAAAAGACAAGAGTTCTGTAAAAAGTTCCACGTCGTCGACGGGGAAAATTCCGAAGGTTAATGGCGCAAAGGTACCGAGCGTTAAAAACGATCGTCCTCCAGAGAAAGAAAAAACTGACAAAACTCCAGTTAAATTGGCTCCTTCTCCGAAAAAAATTCCTGATAAAAAAGTCAGTGAAAAATCTTCGAGCAGCAAACCAAATTTGGATCTTGATGTGGAGGAAGCGGAACGGAAAATCAATGCTGAGATACGCAAGCTCGAAAATGCCAAACGAGCATTAAAAGAACAACAAGAGAGAAACTTAAAGAAGAAAGCTGAGGAACGTGATAATAACACGAGTGTAAATAAAAGTAACGGTGTAAATAAAAATAATGGTAATAATTTAAAGAATAGTAGTGTTACTAGTAGTAGTGTTAGCAGCGGTGATGGAAAAAAATTAAATGGTAAAGATGATAGAAATGGTAAATTAAAGCCTGAGAAGCGCGTCGATGGAAAAACAGGTAAATTTCCACCAGACGTCAGACCGCGAGTTTCAGGCGACGTTAAGTCGAGACAGTTTCCACCCGCTGACGTCAAGCCGAGGCAGTTTCCACCTGCTGACGTTAAGCCAAGGCAATTTCCACCCCCAGATGTCAGACCGAGGCAATTTCCACCGCCCGATGTTAGGAAAAACGGGAGCAAATTACAGGTCAATAAAAGAAGAATTCTTGATGATGAGGAAGAATATGACTCAGAGCTGGATGATTTTATTGATGATGATCCGCATGATGGTTCTGAGGATTATAGTAAATACATAAGTGAGATATTTGGGTATGATAAGAGTAAATATGCGAACTTTGATGATGAAGATGATAATATGGAGAGCAATTACGCTCAGCAATTGAGGGAGGAATTTGTGTCCACTAAAATTGGTAAGTTTTATTTTTTGTTTATGATTCTTTTTCGCCGTAGTTATGTAAATAGTTGGTTAATTGAATTTTTATTCACAGGTATAATGGAAGATTTGGAGGATATTAGACAAGAAAATTTGGAAAAGAAACGTAAGGCTATGATGATGAAGAAAACGAGAAAAAAATAAAATAGCATTGTGAGTAATTATAATAAATGAATTAAATAATACGACAAGGAAAAAATTTTATTTTTTATTCGAGAGTTTATTGATGAATGTTAATATGAAAATTATAGATAGGTAAAAAAAAATGATTAGAAGTAGATTTTTTATAAATTTTTTTCACAGAAAAAATTTTAAATAATTTTTGAAATTATGGATCAATATTGGCTAAAATTGATGAATCGTGTGATAAGAATCTTCTTTCTTAAAATTAATACAAAGTTAAATATTTTCACACTTAAATTATAATAATAATAATGATAATACGTATAGTTATGTGCTCACGTCAGTTCATATTTGTTTTTTCTGTTGTTGGCATTATCAATCGATTTAATAATTCATAATTCGTGTTACGTACAAAAATTCACTTAATACATTTGTATTTATTGTTTTTTTTTTTTTTTTTTTTTTTTTTTTTTTTTTTTTATTACATACCCACACTTAATAATATATTCATTATGCAATAACAAAGTGTAAATATATACAACTTAATAATCATAATTATCATTATTGTTTAATTTTAATTATTCTATATAAATATATATAATTTAAATCGTAAAAAAATTCATAAATCAAACTTATTTAAAGGACAAGAAATATACATATTAAATTAGGTTCATTTTATAAATTACTATAGGAAAATTATTAAAAAAAATCAATTAATATATATTAGCTTTTAAATATAATATTTATAATAACGATGATTTAAATAAATAAAACAAACTTAATAACTTTGTTATCATTTAAATTATGAATTTTTTATTCAAAAGTGATTATTGTTAATAACGCAAACAGATTAATTGTCAATAAAAAACTCAGATGTTAAAAATCACACGTGTTAAATTATATAAATTAGATATATATATATATCTATACTAATATATAAATCTATAGAGTTTTTTATGGTTGTTCCGTTAAAATTATTAAACTATACATCCGATTGAATTGAAATTTCGCATCTATGTAGAGGATACAATGACTTAATGGATAGGCTAACTTTTTTATCGGTGTTTAATCTCCGAAGTGTATAGCGGGGGCGTTAATGATTAGAAAAAATCATAAAAAACTAAATTTTGAATTTTAACTCTTCTAGACATGAAATTTGGAGAGAATTTTTTTGGGCGATGTTGAGAGCAAACAAGAATGTATTAAATAAAGTTTAAGTCTCAAAATCGGTTACGGGGACGCTAATGAAAAAAAAATGAAAATTTTAAACTAAAACGCTCACAGACATAAAATTTAATAATAATTTCATATTTGTTAAATTAAGATCGCCTACTATCAGATTTCGCAAAATTTTAGCCCCAGAGGAGATTGTGGGGGCGTTAAGAATCTGTCAAATTTTTGTTTGTTTTGTCTTTCTTTGGTTATATTTAATATAAATAACAGTGAAAATGAAAATAATTTTCTATATATGTATATGTGAGACTTTCTATAGATATAGTCACTCATCACGATATCTCGGGAATATAGAAACTTGAAATTTGGTAGGAATATTACTTTTGCCATGTAGAGGTCAGCTAAGAACGAATTTTAAGAAATTCCTTCCCCAAAGAGGTTTGTGGGGGCGTTAATAATGAAAAATTCCCGTTTTTAAGAGTTGTAAGAGCTGTAGAAATAATATATGAACGAATTTTACGATAGCTCATCTCACAGGGGCTTGCGGGGGTGGGTTTTAACAATAAAAATTATTAATTCCAAGCTATAGCGCTTATAGACTCCAAAGTTAGTAGGAGTCTTCTATATGTGATATAGAAATGATCTAAGAGCGGATTTTACAATTAACCACTCCCAATAAGGATCGCGGGGGTGAGTGTTAACAATAAATAATCTTAATTTCCAAAATATAGCTTCTGAATACTCAAAATTTCGTAGGAATCTTTTATTTCTCATGTAGAGACCATCTAAAAATGGATTTCAAAAAATTCTACTACCGATGGGGATTGCGGGGGTGGGTGTTAAAATATTAAATTTCTTTTCTCAAACCGTAACTTCTACAGACTCCAAATTTAGTAGAAATCTTCGTGTATGATGTCAAATTTGGCTAAGAATGGATTTTCTCGAATTCTAACTATAAAAGAGATTGGAGGCGCGCAAACGATGAAAATCTCTCATTTCCAATCAACAGTTCCTATGGACTCGAACTTTTGTTGGAATCTTTTGTTTATAATGAACAAGTCATCTCGAATAGGATCTTACGAAATTCTTCCCCCACATAGGAGTGCAAGAGTATTAATATTGTTCCTACAGATATAAAATTTGATAGAATCTCAAGAGAAACAGGAAATTACAGGGATGGCCTCCAAGGTCAATCGATTTAAATATTTTTCTTTCTCAATAATTTTATTTTCTTACAACAATCGTCTCTTTGGCAGCGGAGAAAAAGTAATTGCAAGGTTTCCAAAAATTAACTTTACATGTAGCTATTTACTCAACGGACTAAAAATTTTACATACATTTTATTTTTGCTGATCACACAACCGATAAATTGTTCTTATTACGGGATCGCCGAAATCTAACAGATTAAAATAAATGCATTTTCTAAACACTTGAGCTGTGGAAAATAAATTCGGCTACTTATTTTAATAGAATTCGTAAAATATATACAATTAATTTTCTATGAAAAATTGATGTCAGGGAGGAAATTTTGATTAACAGCATAATTCTTTGCACTTTAAGCTAGGCAGATTTCAACTTTACTAATAAGACCTGCAATTACTTTGACAAAAACTTTCATGCATGTTTCAAATTTTTTCTTCGTGTTAATTATTATTCATTTTTTGGAAGAAACCCGCGGGAATGTTATAGTGTTCGCACATTGAAAGTTACAATGAATATAAGTTAAAATAATCACATGAATAAAAGGTACAGACGAATTCGATGGAATTTGAAATCTGTGCAAGTCAAAACAATACTCAAATTAAATTTCAAGTTTAGATCTAAAAATACAATTCTATAAAATGCCCAGCGAAGCGGGCAGGTAACAACTAGTATATATATAAATATGTATATAACTCATGTTTATATACTCATATGTATATAAATTTATTATCCTCTTTTTAAGTTTAAATAATACTGTCACGAGTTAGAATAGTTACCGCAGTATTTTTATCAGATAAAAGCCGCGGTAAATTTAAATACTGATTAAAACGAATTAAATGATTGGAAAAGTGCCTAATTAACCCCCGATTATTTTTCCGACGTCCCGTTTAAAATAAATTTACCAAAAAATCCCGTACTTTTTCACCGATTCGACGCCTGGGCTCATTAATAATTAAATTAAAACAAAAATTTGGTAAAATGTCAATGCCGCCACGCAATAAAATTCTTTAAGCGTATCAGCGAAACACCCACTGACATACATATTATTTAATATGTACTTAACACATCTGATAAACCACGATACATTATTGATGAATGTTACACAGTAACAGCTCGTGTAATTGTTACAATTACTCTTTGCCGGGGAAGAAATGAAAAAATCAATACGATCACTGCGTCGGCTGATTATTATTAATTCAGTTGTCAAATAGCAATCAAATTTGAAATCCAAAACACTCTAACTGAAATAATCAATCAATTAATTAGTGTATTGAAATAATAACGCTGATGGTGTACGAACTGGTACTAATCGTTTTTCCCCCGTAACTCCTTTAATAACAAAATAATCACGTCCATTAATAAAACGAGTTTTAGAACTTATAACATTGTCAATAGAATCGTAAATTGGAATTTGAGGCTGAGAAAACGCCGAAAATTCGGTTTTAATTGGTTCTTTTGTTATCGGCAATGGAGGTAATGGTAATTGCGGGCGCTTCGCTGGACTTACTTGCATCTTCATACGCGTTTTGCAACAGGTACATGAGTCAGCGCAACACAAGCACACCCGACACTTGAAGTAATGTTGACTTACTTCAACAATAAAGCATATCAATGCCAACAAAAAACCAGTTGCAACAACTTCGTACGTCAATTTAAAGTCTCTGTTCTCCAATCTACGTTCCGTCGAACCTAAATCGAGTGGGCAATATGTAACCATCGGTCTATTTACCGATTCTATGTGCTTGATTATCCCCGTTTCTACTAAGTGCAACAATCTGGAAAATAAAAATAATATTGAAAAATAAACATAAGCTGCTGATGATTATTTAATTAACAAATGTTACTCACTGTCGGTCAATTATTTTTTTAATCCGCGAATTCAATGGATAAGCAAATCCACGATTTTGTTCATATACAGAGTTCGGCATTTTAATGTAGTAACATTTCTCCTTTTCTATCATGTTCAAACGCGTACGATTCAGATAATCACGGTAGATGAAATCCTCGACGAATTGAACTTCATCGATGAACAAACGATCGTTTGTAACAAAACCGGCTACTTTTCTAGCTTTATTGTCCTCTTTGGTAATGTTGTAAAACATACCACGGGTTTTGTTAAGTGATTTTTTGAGAGGTTCAAGTTCTCCTGGATCATTCTAAAAAAGATAAGTCATTATTTATTTAAATTGAATCTAATGAAAATTTCTTATTGATAATAAGTAAATATTATTGAAAAAAAAAATAATTATAATAAACTTACTCTATTTACTGTAATATCAATAATATAATGACGTTGAGCTGTCCAAGATTTGCGTAAGTTATAAATATCTTTAACTGAAGTAAACTCCAGCGTAAATTCAGACAATGTCAAAAATGCAGTCAAATTAGCAGTATAAAAAGCAGTTATAATTGTTATAAAAATCCACCAGGATGCAAACAATAGTCTATTTGAATCTGAAACACGAAATGTAAGTAAATATCAATATTATTTATTACGCGTTTTACTAATGCCGAAAGGGCGTATCTCAAAGCAAGTCCCAATTTTTTAAAATGTTCAATTTTTCGTATTTTGTGGAAATTCATTGAAAGATCTTTTAATAAAATTTTTAACTTTTCGTTAAAAAAATTCAAAATTTCAAAAAATTGGGATGTGTTTATGTTTTTAATCTAACTACCAAAAATCAATTTTTTATTAGATCTCGATGTTTTGAGGTCCTTTAAAGCTATTTGGACTATTTTTTCAGAAACGCCCTTTTAGCTTTAAAATTTTTTTTCTTAAAGTCAAAAGGGTGTATGACGAAAAAAAATTTTCTGTTTTTTTACCGCGATTATTAAATATAGTTGGAAGGCGATTTGTAATGAAAAGATTAGCTTTAATTGTTCAGAAAAATATATTAGTATATTACTCACCCACGGCAGGAAAGTAAGAAATGCCTCAGATCAGATGTTTGTTGACCTCGGCTTGGCCTTGGCCAACAGTTACCTGTAATCTGAGACATTTCTTAATTTCCTGCCCTAGGTGTGTAAATATACTATATCAGACTTATTAATCTTTGGATCAATTATTGAAGAATACACTGTAACAAATTTCGGTGTAAAAATAGACCCGAAGCACTTTACACAGCTGTGTAGTGTGAAATAACGGTGTAAAATTCTCTCAGTGTAAATTTTCCATCCGAGTAATTTTAACACGGTATAATCTACTTTTTTTTACACCATTGCGTGTTACTCGATACATTTTTGTTTAATAAACTTCAATTGATCTTTGAATATTTTTAATCATTTCTATCCTGAATTAACAACTAGGGTAAAAGACCCCATTAGTGGTGGGGACCCCATTACTGACACTTTCTTTGATTTTAATACTTATTCAATTAATGAAATCATTAATTTCAATAATGAATGTATTATTTCTAATCTTTAAGATCTTTAGATCAAAAAAATTTTTAATTTTTATTCCAAGTAGAACATTTTTTCATTGAAAGAAAAAGTGCCACTAATAGGGGTTAAAGGTGCCACTAATGGGGTCTTTTACCTTATATTAATATTATTTATATATTAAATAGTTTGTTGAAAATTTTAATATTTTATGATTATCTATCTCGATTATATATACATGTGTAATATCGGAATGAGTTTATGAATTTAAAAATATTAATAAATAAGAAACGACATTGTATCGTGACTACTAATGATATTTTCAAAGATATAAATTCATCTTGATGTTATACTCACCGAGAGTTTTCATTTGAGTACGAACATAAATTTTTATAAATTTCACAAATATTATATACATATACGAGAGTTTTCATTTGAGTACCCACATCAATTTTTATATATTTCACAAATATTATATACATATATTTATGACTAGTTAGTACTGATAACTATTATTATTAATTTGAAATTTTACTATCATTTGATGATAATCATTATCGAGAATTTTTCAGAGTGTAGAGTCAATATATAATTTCTGAACGCAAAATTATCGTGAGTTATAATTATAAGTACATTTATACGGTCAACTGTCTAAAAATATTAAATTCATACTCCTTGGTGTGATTATCACACGAAAATTTTCTCGCCGACTCATTTACATTACACCGGGTCCAACAATTTTTTTACAGTGTATAATGAAGAAAATTGTTTAAAAATTAGAGACTGATCCTATTAGAGGTTGTTCGATAAATCTTGCTTGAAGATTTTGAAATTACAGTTTTGAGAAAAAAAGCGTTTAAACAAACAATCCTATAACTTTGAAAATACTTGTTCGATTGACATTAAATTTTCTGAGTACATACTTAAATATATATATATACAGTAACAAAATGCAATAAAACAAGTAGATTTTTATAAAATTCCAAGTAAGTATAACCAATTACCAAATGATACGGAAATCAGTAGACATCTAACAACTTTTGAAATTTGAATAACAAATCAATTATGATAAAAAAATATTTATGAAAATTCGCACTTACAATTTTTTTAAATTTTGCATGTTGAATGTTTTTACTTAATTTGTTTCATCATAATTTAGTTATGTTTTGCCGAAACCTCGTCAAAGCGCCGAGATTTCGTGCTTCAGTTTTTCAAAATTTTATTTTGATTATTAGTGTAGATGGATAGGAATTTTAAATAAATTACACTCGATGTTTGGGACAACATAAGGAATAAATTTATTATCCCAGAGGAGGAAAAATCTGATGGTCAGATAAAAAACCTCCTCGATGATAATTACAAGAAATAAATGTGTGTGAATGTGTAATTGTTGTTTAGTCAGGGTAGGACCTGAGCTATTGTTATTTCGTCAGGATAGGACCTGAGCTATTGAATAATAAACTATCTCTTGGTGAGAATAGTTTAATGCGTATTGCCAAATATAGGCGAATACTGATGACTCTTCTGGAGAGTGCTGTTAAATTGTATGTGCGTGGGAGAGAAACGATCAAAACCACGGGCCGTCAATACCCAAAAGAGTGAGAGAGAGCTCGGATGTATGGCGTCAGTCCGAATTACCGTGTAATTTCTATAAAATTGCGTTTTACCAAAAATAATTGAATTCATGAATATGATTCGAATGATAATAAATAAAATGATGTTAAACGATGTGATTTTTGAGAATGTCTCAATTGTACTGTATGATGTGTAATATGCGAGAGCGATTGCGTGAAAATTACTACTGACTCAAGGGCCTCAGAGCAACTGGTGGTACTGGCCACCGCACGAACAAATTCGGTTTTTCCTATACGGCCCCGATGGGCGCTATACCGTTCTGCGCATCCGCCGCAACTTGTCGCCTACGATGTCTCCCAAAATTGTTCGAGAAAATTCTCGTTGAAGCTAGAGCTAATATATAGATATAATTATCTGATTTCGTACACCCACGCTCTCTCTCAACAGATATAGATGTAATTGTATAGGACAATACATGCATGCTTCTACTCTGCACATGCACACACATTTGTGGTCTATCGTATAAGTACGACTCGACTCGACAAGTTGTTATAAAAATTTAAAAAATAGTTAGATGTCAGTTGATTTCAGTATCATATTAAGAATACTAAAACATTGAAATAAATGGTAAACAGATAACCTACCAGCTTCAGGAGTGATTGCTGATCCTTGTTTTAGTATAGCACCGTAAGCGAACCAGACACAATCGATAAATGAATACATATCTTGGTTAGTACGGTCCCATAACCAAGTACGGAACGAAGTTACGAAGTAAATAATTGGACCCACTAGGGCTAACGACACAAATATACAGATCCAAACGGTCTTGCTGAATGGAGCAAGAAGTCCAGACCCGATGGCAGACTGTAATGGTCGTTCCATTAGTACTGACACTTCCAAGGAATCTAATATCGGGCTAAATTCAACGAAATTCATGTACTCAGGGATTATTGGTATAAACGCGACCGCCATGTCAACTTTCTGAAAAAATAAATTATCAATCAGTATAATTATTTTTGTTTATGGTTATAATATTTGTCTTCTATTTTTTAAATTAAATTTTGACACTCACCGATTGGTTCAGCATGCTGATCATACCCGTTTCATTGTTGCCGATTGTTAGATCTTCAGGTGGAATGATTCGGTACTTAAAATTTAATTTCTTTGCTATTATGTCAAAGATTTGGAAAGCATAACCTCCACCGATGATTTTTCCATTTATGTTATTGTATGAAGAATATGGTCCTTCCTTTAAATCAAGTTTTTTATTAATTTGTTGAATATTATCTTTAATAGCTATTTATTAATGAATGAGATGTTAAGAACAATAAAAATTTTATTAAAAATTTGGAAATAAATTATATTTTAAAAGTTTGAAATATATATATATATATATTTTGATAGAAAACCAAACTAATATTATATTAGCAGACCCTTGACAATTTTTTTATTTTTCTTGAAAAACAAACTGGGTTTAAAAAGTAATTTTTTAAAAATTGAGTTTACAATTTTTTAGAGCTTCTTAAGATGGAATTTTTTATGTCAATTTTTCTTATCATAATTAATCCACTGTAAAAAATTTGTTGAGCAGGGTGTGAAAAATTTTCCTGTGAAAATTACATCAAATACCGTGTTAAATTTAGGGGGGGGGGTGTGGTGTGAATTTAATATTTTTACACAGTTCACCGTGTAAATGTACTTGGGTCATATTCCATGTCAAATCGACCAATAGTTGGAATCGACCCCTTTCGATTTGGATGAATTTTGGTCAGAAATTTTCTTTTATCATAAAACGAAGTTCTGCCAAAGAAAAAAAAATCCACAGATTCGGTAGAATCTGGCGTCAAGTTCCGTTCAAATCCGTTGTCAACGGAGCGCCAGACTACCGACTGTGTTTACTGTAAGCAGAACGGTATTTTGAGGTTGCAAAATTTTATTTAATTCTACGGTACTTTTTTTTCCTAAATTGTATATTATAACAGTAATTCATACTTTATTTTACTGTTATTAATTAATTATATTCAGTTATAACAATTAATCTACTTGAAATTACTAAATTTGATCAGCACAAACTATAGCAACGCAAAAATTTCGATCCTGACTTTTTTTCGATGGGCAAAGTGATCTGCCACAGACTAAATAATTCGAGAATGCATACTAATCCTTCATTAGATTATTAGGTTATTTCACAGCTTGCATCTACACCCGCCAGGGTCAAAAAATGTTGTGTTAGAAATTTTTGTGTTAAATATTTAATACTTTTATGTGTAAATTTAACATTTATTGTGTTAAACTGACACAAAAAAGTGTTAAATATTTAACATAAAAATTTTTAACACAAAATTTTTTGACGTATTGACGCAAAATTTTTTACTGTGTAAATAAAATATGTTTATTTATTTATTTAGTTTTGTATATGTCAATGGAATAAAACAAAAAATTTCGACCAACTAAAAAAAATTTTTTTTACACACTTTAAACGCAAAACAATGAACAGAGTTTTATACACATAATCTCTCATCCATTAAAATTGGTCTTGATGTAATACTTATTAATGATAGTTATTAAATAAATTATCATGTAGATAATTTATTAACTGACAATATTGATAGAAATTATATTAATAAATGTTATTTTATAAAACATCAACCTTTAATGACGCAATACTTGTAAGAATAATTTTATCCACAGATTCGGTAGAATCTGGCGCCAAGTTCCGTTCAAATCCGTTGTCAACGGAGCGCCAGACTCCTTTGGTGTGCGTCATATTGTGTATTTCAATTTTTTTAAAGTCCTAGTCAATAGATTTTACGAATTTAGTTAAAAGTAAAATATTTTGCAACCGCGCACACTAAATACGTTTCAAAATTGTTTTTTTAATTTTTAAATTTACAAGAAAATTTTTTTTAATTTCCGAAAATCATAAACAATCATATCGGTTACTTGGGATTTTTTAATTTTTTATTTTATATCTTTTTGTAAAGAAAAAACTAATTTTTTTTCTTAATAGTCTTATGAACGTGGACTTGGCGCGATTTTTTTACAGTGAAACTGTTTTTGTTCGGATTTGGAATACGGTTGACCCTAAAGGCCATCGAGCTAGAAGCTCTTCGAGCTCAAAAATATAATTTATATGCTATTTCGAGCTCTCCGAGCTCATAGAGTTAGCTGTTCTAAGCTTTTGAGCTCTTCGAGCTCAAAAGTCTGATACAAGTTTAATATAACAGTATTTTTTGAATTTTCAAACTGCAATAATTTCTGAATGAATGAATCGATTTTCGAGCGGTTAGCAGTATTCCATGCAGTTTTTCAAATTCTATGATATACTTTTGAACACTAACTGATCGAACCGAAAATCTTAGAGAAATTTGAAAAATTCACTTTTTCCAAATTTTTTCGACGACCATAACTCACGAACCGATCAACCGATTTTCACGTTTTTGGTAGCGATCGACGTGGTTTTTTAAGCTCTGATTATTATTTTATTTCATCAAAAAGGATCCGATAAGAAATGAAGTTATGTGAAAAAAACACTTTTTTCGAAATTTTTCGTTTTCGATAACTCTCGAACGAATCAACCGATTTTGACGGGACTGGTGGCAATTGACGTGGTTTTTTAAACTTAAGAGCGGATTAGTTTTTGGATTTGTTCAAAAGTTTTTTTCAAAAGATATGCAAATTCAAAATTTCGCGATTTTTCCAGTTTTTTAATTTTGTTTTTGCAATATCTCGAATGCTATTATAGATACAGGAATCCAGGAATGGTCTTTCGTTTGTTTGAAAGGGGACACTTTGGGCTATTGAAAAAAAAATATTTTGGAAAAAAATTTTAAAAAATGCCAAATTTGTCAAATTTCGAATTTTTGAAAATCGTCAAAAATTAAGAGCGCCATTAACATTTTGGCTCAATTTTTGTTGTATGATACCTTGTACTGATCTTAAAAGATCCTGAAATCTTTGGAAAGGGGTTTTTTTCAAAAATATGAATTTTTGAATTTAAAATTCTACTAATACAAATATGACTACAAGGTGTCATACAAAAAAAATTGAGCCAAAATTTTAATGGTGCTCTTCATTTTTGACGATTTTCAAAAATTCAAAATTTGACAAATTTAGCATTTTTCAAAATTTTTTTCCAAAATATTTTTTTTAATAGCCCTAAGTGTCCCCTTTCAAACAAACGAAAGATCATTCCTGTATCTATAATAGCATTCGAGATATTGCAAAAACAAAATTGAAAAACTGGAAAAATCGCGAAATTTTGAATTTGCATATCTTTTGAAAAAAATTTTTTTATTTTTTTTCCTTCGTCAGAACTTCGTTTTATGATAAAAGAATACTTCTTACCAAAATTCATCCAAATCGAAAGGGGTCGATTCCAACTATTGGTCGATTTGACATGGAATGACCCGCTTATAATTCACGATAATTTTGCGGTCAGAAATTATATATTGACTCTACACGCCGAGAAATTCTCGGTAATGATTATCATCAAATGATAGGACAATTTCAAATTAATAGCAATATAGTTATCATCAATACTAATTAGTCATAAATATGTGTATCTATAATATTTGTGAAATATATAAAATATATAAAAGTTTATGTGGGTACTCAAATGAAAATTCTCGATGAGTACAACATCAAGATGAACTTATATCTTTAAAAATATCATTAGTTCTCAAGATACAATGCCATTTCTTATTTATTGACATTTTTAAAGACATATAAATAATATATAAATTTTATTGTTTTATAATATATTGTTTAATATATAAATTATATTACTATAGTGATTAATTCAGGATATAAATTAGGTGATTAAAAATATTCAATGATCAATTGTGGCTTATTAAAGAAAAATATATCGAATAACACGCAATGGTGTAAAAAAAAGTAGATTACACTGTGTTAAAATTACTCGAATGAAAAATTTACACCGAGAAAATTTTACACCGTTATTTCACACTACACGGCCATGTAAAGTGTTCCGAGTCTATTTTTACACCGAAATTTTTTACAGTGTATGTTAAAAAATTATAAACATCATCAGATGTCTTTCAACTTCATTATCATAATTGAAATATAAAAAATCATTTTGAATGATTATCGATAACTTTAAAATAACAATATTGTTAAAAAAAATTTATTTTATTATAAAAAAAAATGTAGTGTTTTTTAATATATGTTGTATTAACTCTACTTTAACAAATATTTACTAATAATTAAGCATTCAAAAAATAAATTTTTTTCAGTAATCACTCTATTTTAATATAAATTATTTAAAATTATTTTATATTTTTTCGTTTGATTTGTTATTAAAGCTCGTTTTTTAGTTTTGTTTCTAACCAATAATTTATTTGCTATGACTAATGAGGGATAAACCTCGCTGTATCGCATTCAAGTCTTGTAATTTATTATTTTAGTCACCAGATCATCACAAAAATTAATTCATCAAAGTTGTAATTACTTTTTTTACAAAATGAATCTATTATATTAGAAGTGAAGTAATATAATACAAAATATTTATCCCGACTAAAAATTTTTATTTTATAAATTTAAAAAACTAATTACGTTTATATTATAGTAGACCGCAACAAGAATAATTAAAAATAAGAATCACTTATGGAAACGTGGGCAATTGTTGATTTCAGCGGATACAACTATGACGGAAAATTTATAGTTAAAGAAGCGTGTATATTTCAAGATCGAAAAGTTCCCAATGGTGAACTCACGAAAACTATAATGGTGACGAAACCACCGGGACCTCGACCAACCGGTGAAAATCTAAAGTCATGACTGAAGTATTTAAAAAAGACCGGTATTAAATGGAATAAGAGTAACTGCAGTATTGAAGAACTCCGGAGTACATTATCTTCACTAGTAGAGCGTTGTTACGTCTACGTGAAAAACTCTAAAAAAATTTTCCAGCTGCTTGAATTTCTCGGTCTCAAAAAAAATATCAGACTACGAAACGCCGAAAAGCTGGGGCTTTACGAACGAAAATCGTCCTCAACAAAAATCTGTTCATTTCACGTGAACCGAAAGCTGCGCTACGACTGTGCAGCTTACAATGCCAAAAAAATAGTCGACTGGTTTTTTGGAGGTAACGAAATAAAGTGCCTTGCGGTAGATTTTAATGGCTATTTCTTTACGACACGGAAATATGAATTGAAAGAAATAAGTATCTTCGGTTTGAACAAAAAAGGCGCCGTTGTGTATCACAATTTATCTGTCGTCGCATTCCCAAGCGAAATCGGAATTCGGTCAAATGAACTAGATATTTACTATCATCAGTACTACAAAAAGTTTGGTATCGGTTGGACAAGTGGTTCCCACAGTCCACTAGATTTTGAAACTTTGATTAAAAGCACTCTTGAAGACGCCAGCAACGCGACGCACTTGTTTGTAAAAACACGAGATCACAAGAAGGTCTTGAGAAGGATTAACAAAAGCAAAGAAATTTTGTGCTTGGATGACTATGAATACAAAGAAGAAGCAGTTGGTACTGCGCCATCTACCGACTGTTCCTATCACACGCGTTTAGGTATGGATATGAATCTTTGCGCTGATGCTTCTGCCAACAAAATGTTGGACTGGGTCATTGCGAAAGGATACTATGACATTAAAAATTTGTCTGAAAGAACAATAGTAGGTTCGATAATTAATAGAGAATTGCATGGGGGTTTGGGTTTTAAATTTAACAAGCCGTAACTGGAGTTCCATTCCAAAAAGCTCAACCTTGATGAAGAATTGTAAAGATCTCATCAACAAGTTAAAAAGTTAAAATGGATTTTTAATTGTGAATTTTATCAAAACATTACTATTGAAGCGTTTACCAAATTTCTAAATCCGATGATAAATATTATTATTGCAAAAAAGGTTATGTCCATATGAAGATTATTTTCAATTAATATTTTTCATTATTTCTATTTCATTTACGAAAAAGTTAAAAAATTTTTTTTCATAAATAATAAATGATTATGATTTATTATTAATTAAGAACATCAAATTTTAATACTTACATCCCAAGTTGTCACCAATAATTCTTCTGGCAATGCATCATAGTAGTGCTCAGCCTCTTTAGTTTTGTTGTGGTTCCATGAGACAACATCATCTAAACTAACTTCCCCTATAATTGATAAATTTCTTAAATAATTTTATTTTCTGACAGCAGTAAGAACATTTTGTACGCCTCATTTAATTCAATTCAATTTTTAAATTTGACTATCGCTATCTATATGATTCGATTTTATTCAAATCATCACAAATTTTTTAAATTCCCGCTAAGAAAATGAAAATTTTTTTCTTAAAGTTTACCAAAAGTAAAATAATAAAAAAAAAAATCTTTGAAAATGTCAAAATTTACTTTTTGAAAATTTTTTTTAAATTGAAAAATTTACTTTTTAAGAAAAATTTATTTCTTTAGTTCATCCAAAATAAAATAATAAAAATCATTGAAATTATCAAAATTTTTATTTTTGAAAATATTTTTTAAATTGACAAATTAGCTTTTTTGGAGGAAAATTTTTTTTCAGAATGTTCTATTGTGGATAAACTCTAAGAAAAAAAAGTCTGTGATAATTGGAAAAAAAAAAAAAAAAAAAACAAATTTTTATTTAAAAAATCGTCGAACCAGGATTATAAAAATTCATAAATAAAATCAAAAAAAGAACGTACATCTATACCGATGATCAAGAGTATAATTGAGCGAATTATTGCTAGTAAGCGCGTAAATTCCAGCGAGCATCAATTCAAGCCCCATCATTTTGAGCAATAAGTCATTCCTTCACTTAGAAATATCCAAACTCAATTAAATTAAAATTACAGGTCACATCTTGTCGATTTTTCACCACATCAAACTTTAACTAAAACTATTAATTAATGATCATCATTATCACCATCATTAATTAATAACTATAAAGTAAAGATCAACAAATGAAATCCTCACGATGACAACAGTCGCCAGGACGGAAGTTGAATCAATACTGTCATATTTTCATGGGCATGTCACCGTCCAGCTCAGCTCAAAACCTGGGTGACACTTCCACACATGAAGGTCTTATGTGACATGGAGGAAGAGTTAACTATAATATCCAGTGCCCTGCCGATACCACGATTTTATTCTGTTACAACAACTAAGGTATGTAGGCTACAAACTACTAACAAGACCCAATGTATGTGTATCAATATGAATGTGTATATTGTATTTTATATTTGTAGACACTAGACCGTACGAACACCAAAGACTAAAAGCCACGTATGTGCCGTAATACTGTGTTACGAATATGTTACATTGCCTGACCACAGTAAAGATGTCCTGCAGATACCGATCACACGTCAGACCTTCTGGGTCACGCAACTAAGTCCAGCAATAAAAGACTGGATGGCAATGACAATGAATATTTTTTTTTTATTTATTGACATTACACCTGACACGTTTAAGGCTTGGGAATAAATGTCTTCACTATAAAAAGAATTAAATATTTTTGTAATATTTTTTATCTTCGAAAAGATAATTTATTGCAATTTTTTCATCTCTTCAATCTGAATTTAAAACTTTTAAAAATTATTTCAATTTTGCCGACTATTCATTTATGCGATACTGAAATCAGAAGACTCTTGACCATTTTTTTGCTTTATATTTAAAAAATTAATTAGTATTGAAAATATCTTATAATAAATTACACTCAATTTTATAAAATTTTCATACGTCAAATTTCTTTATATCAATTTATTTGATAAAAAAATTTTTGGACTGTCAGATGTTGGCTGATTTAAGTATCATCATTCATAACTGAATATTGAAAAAACTAACAAGTGTAATTTTTACAAAAATTGAACAGATAAGAATTAGAAAATTTAAAGTGATTTAAATAAAATGTTTAAGAACGTTTTTACGATTAAGTTATCACTCTAATTGATATTTTTATGCTTATTACAACCGTTTGTCACCACCCGGGCGTTGACGAGAAACTAAATAACAAAATTGACCGGAAACTCCCCACGCACTATTGGACTATTGGTAGTACTTGGAAAAACATTTGGGTCGATTATTATCTTACCCTTTCTGAGTGATAATAAGTTTTGATTGGCAGGGGTCTGAATAAACAGTGTGTTTATTGATGATAAATAATAAATATTATCATGATGAGGAGATAAATTTTTTTGAGTATTAACATATTAATGGAGTCAATTCACGTCAAGTGGACCCCCCTTTTTCCACTTGATGATAGAAAACTTAATAAAATATAATTATCGAAAGTAGTCATACCTAAAAATCATCCCTTAAAACAGTTTTTGAAAATTTTGTATTTAACAACAATTTTTTTAACAATAAAAATTTTTGGTACTTTTAATTAAAAAATAGATTGTGAAAAAACTATTGAAGATAACTTAACGAAATTTTCAGGAAATTATAGTAAAATATCTATATTTTCACATAAAATTCTTTTGCAAATTTAATTTGTTTATTATCATATTTTTTATTAACTTTTAAATAAACAAATTAAAATTTTAATGACTTCTCAGTACGATAATCGAATTTTTTTTTTTT